ATCGGGATTTCATATTTCTCACCACACAGGGTGTTGATTACTTGAAATATGATAACTGTTTCAATCTGGGTATTGAACCACAGAAAAGGTAATACCCCTGTCGAGTAAGTTTATATGTCATTTACCTTTCGTGCAGTTCACTGACAAGAACAGTTGGATTATTCACAGGTATCCAGTGATGCGTGATGCTCTAAATGCCAGTGGTCACAGTGTGTTCTATGCACTTTGTGAGTGGTAACTTCCAGTTTACCTCAATGGATGCTTCTAATAGGGGTCCTAACCAGGACATTTAGACAGCCTGTCTGTCTTTTACTCCCTTCTTAAAAAACCATAAACTTGACAGGGGTGAGGATGATCCTGCACTATGGGGTCGGGCTGTTGGAAATAGTTGGCGCACTACAGATGACATCAATGATACTTGGGCAAGGTTGTAAATCATTGATCTTTGTCACTTGTTGTAGTATGACGGACCATATTCTGATAGACACGGTCTGGATTCTAAAAAACTAACAACAGTGTATTATTCTCTCGGATAACATAATATAACAATTGACATGGTTCTTTTTGCTTGATAAACTATTGCTCTAATTGACAAAATGGCAGAAGGCCTATTCTTCTGGGTCTTAATCCCTTGTTTGATTGGAGGATTTTGAAGGACAGGGGAGGAAAGTGAAGGCTGTGTATGTGTTTGGTGGGAGGAGCTGTAGTCCTCCAAACTGTTCAAATCTCACTTCCCAAATTTGGGATGATATTAGTTTTTTTTGTTCTTAATTTCTTTTTTTTAAGTCTCATAATCGTTTTACATTATAAGTGCTATACATTTGGGTTACGATATTAGAGAACTACAAAACAAATTCTATCTAAGACCACTTTTGCACTCCATTAGAACTAAAATGATATAAAAAAACAAATTTTACGTGTATCTGTAACTGTCTGTCTTTCTTTCATTTTTGTCGTTTATCCATATAACTTGCATAGGATGAATGTATTGACTGAGCTTCATCATTATTCATGCTTAGCATGACAACAATTGCTGATATCAACAATAAGTGGGCTGCATACGCCGGACCTGGTGGATGGAATGGTAGGGAGATGTGCTCAACTCTTTAGACATTTTTGAACGCATATATTGGCCATTTTAGGATGTGAATTCTGAATGGTTGGATTTCTTTTAGACCCTGATATGCTTGAGGTTGGCAATGGAGGTATGACCTATGATGAGTACCGAGCACACTTTAGCATTTGGGCATTAATGAAGGTATTTCTTGACTCAAGGGATTTCTGAATGGTTGGATTTCTTGATTTTTGCTGTTTAAATTATATATAATAATGATATACCCGTTTGATTTCTTGGTTAAATATTTAGTCTTTTATCGAGCAACTATTTTATACTGCAATCAATTGCAGTCAAAAATGTCAGTTTTGAGTTCATGGCTCTGTGCATTGTTCCAAATATTGCTCATGCTATTGAGTATTGACTCCTGTACAAATTGGTTATGCAGGCCCCACTTATAATTGGTTGTGATATAAGGAATATGACTGCAGAAACTTTTGAAATTCTCAGCAACACAGAAGTTATTGGTGTAAATCAAGGTCTACGATTTCTTTTCTCTCTCTCTATCTGGTGAATGGGAAGTTGATAAAATTTAAGTAGAATTGGTTGTAAACCCTTTCGGAAGCGCCCAATGATTGTAATATAGTTTCTTCTTTTACTACTTTCATTGACGATTTTTGTGAATATATTTTGTACATTCGTAGATCCACTTGGGGTTCAAGGAAAGAAAGTTTCAGTTTCTGGAGCAGATGGGTGCCAGGAGGTCAGTTTTGGCACGTTGATGTAATGGGATGTTTTTCTTAATGTGAAGCTTGGGTATTATTGGTTTTCCACCTAATTAGTGTCCTTTCTCTAAATCGAGAGATAGGGTTAGCATAGCTGTACCTTTAGCTCTTCTGCTGTTCATCAGCGGGGCGAGGAGGGGAAAAGACGGAGGATTAGGAAGGAAACTGGAGTGGGGGCGGATTAAGTAATAGATTGGAAATAAAATATGTAACCATATTGTATTTGATATAATCGCTTTAGTTAAAACTTAAAAGTATATCAATTTTCCTGTGTAAAAATAATAGTGTAGAACAGTTTTGGAATGAAACAAGACAAAGTAAGGTGGAAAAAAGGTCTGCCGAAAAACAGTTTTGGAATGAAAAAAGAGAAATAAATTCAGGGAAAAGGTAACTCTGCCAAAATGGAAGACTTTTATAAGAAGGTTGAAGGTTTTTTTAGCTCCTCGTTCTAATGCCCAACCAGCCTGGGACGCCTAAGCCTCCCATTTTTTATGTAAAAAGAGGTTTTAGTTTTCCTTATTTAAGATTTAAGTATTTTTTGGTTATAAAAATTAAAAAGATTATTCAATTCCTATATGTTCTTTCTGTTGTAAAATAAAAAGGAATAACCGAATAACAAAACCTTGCACACAGGTTTTATGTTCTTTAGTCACTGAAATAGCTCGTATACATTCAAAAGGCATAAATTCATTCTAAAAGTAGTGAAATCCTCCCACTGAACCAAGACATTGGGCTTTTGTCTTGTTTGTGTTCAGAATATGTGAGAATTTCTTTGTGGGTTAATATGTATTTGGGAAACAAACGAGGCCATGATATAACTAGTCCTAATAACTACTGTGTCCACCAGGTTTGGGCTGGGCCATTGTCTGGAAACCGTTTCGTGGTAGCACTTTGGAACCGATGCTCAGAAGAGGCAACAATTACTGCTCAGTGGGATGCAATTGGAATTCAATCTACTGCCACCGTCTCTGTTAGAGATTTATGGAAGGTATGATCAAATCATGTCATTATTTTCCTTCCTCATAAGTAATCTATTATTTTTAGCCTGATTATAAAACTCAGTTATTATATTATAGAAACAAGCATTTTATACATGGTACTATTTCTCACTGCAGCATGAAGTGGTTTCAGAGAACACCGAGAGATCATTCAGTGCTCAGGTTAAGCCCCATGGCTCGGAACTATACATTTTCACTCCCCAGGCAGCGGAGAAGAGCTCTTCTCTTCATTGTGATTCTTGTGTTATGTAACTATTGTATTTTCTGTGCTGGGTAGCCTACTTTAAATAATGTATGCCCAGAGTGCTGCCCTTAAAGCCATGTAATAAAAACCTGAAGACTTCTTTAGGTTGAACTGTCAAATTGCCTCATCCCATGTGTGTATTTATTTAGTAAGTTTCAATATACATAAATAGCTCCTTTTTGTAGCTACAGTTTGCTTGTTCTGCTAATCTGCTTACCAGAAGAACAAACTAAATAACCAGATTAAATAGCCTTCAACCCAAGATTTCTTTTTCGTTGGAAAGGTTGAATCTACTGAACTATTTGAAATAATGTAAAAACCTCATATCATCAAAACTCGAAATATATCAAGGCAATACGACAGCCTCTAAATAATATAATTACAAAATAAGAATTAAAAAGAACTTTTAAAACTATGTATCTTAGGTTCCAAGAGCAATGCTATATACAATGAATATATTATGCAACCACACCTTTCTGAAAGCGCCACAAATAGTTGAATATGGGGGGGGGGGGGGGGGGAGGTGAGGCAATAAGATTCAAAACAAACATTTGTTGAGAAGAGAAAGCTAAAGATTACACAAAAAGAGAAAGACCTTTTGATTACAGTGAGCATATCATGAGTTTGTATAACCTTATAGTCGAAAACCTGAGAGGTGCGTAAATTTAATAAAGATTGCAACTTTATGAAGAGTTTAATTAATAGATCCAATCCCATCTAGCTGAAGAAATGAAACAACTAAAATTAATGAAAGAATATAAAAATAGCAAAGCTATGGCAATTATTGGATATTGACAACAGAAAAAATCGTCCCCAAATTAGCCACAATGATGTAAAAAATTTACCTTTCAAATGGGTTTGGCAGAATAGAGGGCGGATGGAAATATGGAATTGGAGTTCAACATCATTTTAATCTGAGTCTTCTGGTTACAGTTACACGAATGACAAATACTATGAAGAATGAGAACCCCTAAATTTAATAAGACAAGAACTTACAAGATTAGCCATCCTTTTCTCAGCAGCACCTTCCTATTACTTTCCCAAGCACAAAACCCTTGCAACAGTTCTCTAGATCTCCAAATTGACTGATAGTGCTCTTAATGGAGTGTTATCAAAAGTTTTATAGATCCTTAAAACTAGACTCTCGCAGAAGGTTTGCTTGTTCCTGGGAATCCTAACATCACTTTATGCTAGCCTAGAAAAAAAGGTCACTCGGTTAGCTTTCAATATTTTCTTCACTCTTATAACTGTGACACCCGACAAACTTGGTGATTTCAACAACAAAAAATCTATTTGTACACTTTTTGCACACCTTGTCTAGTTAGACACATGGAACTCATTTAAAAAAACCAGTAATTGTCTACACTTGTCTATCTACACAGTGTGTACAAAAATGTAACATGTACAATAATTGTCTGCAATTGTCTGTGTACAACCAAAATTATCCTTTCACCACTAGTCATGCTAGATCATATCATGTACAGTCATATACACTTGCCAATTATTCACATACAATTCTTGTGTTTGAAGCTAGATTCAAAACAAAGCATCTATAGAAATAACTTCAACGGCATAGATTGGACTATATGCCAAATAAGTCGGTCTGTGTGCAATTTACAAATCATTGTATGTGAATTGTGAATACTTAAACCAACATCTCTTCATAACTTTCTCACTGAAAATAGTTGTCAATGTAAAGAATTTACATGTTCTGTTCCCACCACAGACATGCATGTGACTGAGCTTGTGTACAAAATGTCTACACCATTCTGCCAAAATGTGTATAAACATCATTTTCACAAAAGAAGCTCAAAAACAGAATTTCACATTCCAACTTTTATATACATATCTGGTGTCGCACAACTAGTCTAAATATAAGAAAAAATTTAGGCCTGAAACTTGAGGTTTTTGTCATGCAATCTCATGGGATGGGATATAATTAGCTTCAATCAAGTTAAACAATATCAGTTTTATTATGACACCAATTAAAACAATGCATGTCCACTACATACAAAAAACCCTCTCCAATCTTCAACTGATGACCCACAACACGATGTTACTCAATCCTCCTCTATGCAACAGATTTGTCAGATAAAAGAATGTCTTCCACTGAATAATTAACAAACTCAATCCTATGTCTTCTGGTAAAAGCTGCTGAAGGCGGAGAGTTTCACTATATACAACACTTGGTAATGCAAGGATTTGGTTACTTCATCAAATCTAAGAACACAAAGCCATTCCACATACTGTGCAAGAGTATGGAAGGTAGCAGGTTCCTGGACCTAGCGTATATAATACCCATAACAACCCCAAGAAACATTAGGGGTAACATTCTCTGTACATTAAAATGGGCCAAAGCGAAGGCGATTGAACTTATAAGAACTGAGCACCATACCGGCATGTACTTTGTCAATGAAGGGAGAAGGAAGCCTCTAAATACAACTTCTTCCCACATAGGAGCACACACCACCAGTACTAATGCATAAAGTGACATAGCCACAGGATCTCTCGCCATTATGGATTGCTCAACACTAGAGAGTGTCACAGGAGTAGAAGGTAGCACAGGAAGTAGGTTGAGGTTAAGTTGTGACAGGCGGTTTACAAGTGGAAACATGAAGCATCCCAAGATTAGATCAAGAAGCCAGTTTCCTTTCATGCTAAATTTAAACCAATCACGTGGAAGCGGGCGAAAACGAGATAAGCACCGCCGAAGAATCAAAATTCCAGCAAGGCCCTCAGTTATATCAGTCAGAAGGCTGAACAAAGCCTGTCCTCTAAATGTAAGTGATTCTTTATTGAATCCCATCATGTGTGCTCCAAAGGGAATCATCCATGAACCAATAAACCAGAAAGATACAATCCAAAGGAGCATAACCTGCAAGATCATTAAAACCATTGTTTAAAATGTGTTAGCCAATTAACATGGGCGGATGTCAAAACAAATTTAAATTCGTCTATTGAGGGACAAGACTGGCATAAAAAAGATTCCTGATACACTTATACTTATCTCAAAATCATTGCTAAGAAAATACAGAAACTAGTTTTCGGCCAGTTACTGTTTTTTCGAACTATTTAATTGCTTTTACTTGATGGGTACGATTAGTCGATTACACCAGTTATACACAGAAGAATATGTAGTGAGAAGCAGATAGTTCTAAAGGCATTGAAAACACACACTTCAACCAAGAAGAGTAACAACAAACTTGGGAACTGCACATATGAATATAAAAAAGGGTAGCACAATATGGATATAGCAATTCAGTCCACAGACAGTGTACATGTCTTCTGGTGCACGTAAAAGATAATAAAGACCACTTAGAAAACTCACTTATTTAGTAAAAAAATGACACTGTAAAATTATCATGTAAAAAATGAAGACTTCCACTGCAAAAATATTAAAGAGAAGTATTTCCGATGAAGATTGTTAGTGCTCCAATCACTAAATTCTTGGAATATAAGCACCATAAATAACCTGAAAAGTCCTGATATCATGATATATCTTAAGAATCTTACCTGAAAAATTGTCTCTGCCGACCATGGGACATTCCAGGGTTCTCCAATCACTCTACGCAATGCATCTGGAGCCTGAACAGTATAAGCACATAGCCATACGTAGAATTTGTCTAAGCAATCACATGATAGATTAGGAAGAAATAACTATGACATTGTGTTTATACTAAGTAACTACAGATGAACTTACCTTTAGAAAAAATGAAACCCAGTCTCTTTTCCCAACGCTTAAATTATCACTTTCAGACACTATGTGTTGCTCTTCATGTAAAATCTGCTCATTCACCTCATAATGGGAGTCGCCGTAAGAATATTCTTCATTCTTAAAGCATGATATTCTCTCGTTCTACAGTATGCAATTATGTAAGATTAACACCAGAAGATGGCATGCAAACCTCATACATAGCATATATTCCAGAAAGGCGACTTGATGACTTCTAATCATTAGCGGTTCATTATTCTAATTTCTAAATGATAACATGTGAATGTTAAACTCTCCTCTTTATGATTTATGGTATAAATCCCTGACATATCATCGAAACTTGAAATGTATCAAGGTATATCATTACTCTACCTATCAATTACATAAGGATAGAAATTGCCTTTCAATAATTATGTTTTCTGTGCCAAACTAGGTAAGACAAAAAATAATTACAAAAGAAGAATTAAAAAGAACTTTTAAAAATATATATTTATATATTTGATAGTCTGGGTAATGAATATAGATTGATAGGTCATTATGATAACCACGCCTTTCCATCAGATGGTCAAGTTGGAAAAAATGAGGCAATAATGCAGAACAAGCGTTAACCACTAATAAATCATGGTCCTTTTTTGAAAATGAAAGATTACACCACAAGAGAAACTACTTTTCATTACAATGAGCAATGTATGAGACTACATAAGCTTATAGTCGGAAACTCAAGAGGGATGGGAATTTAATAGAGATTGCAACTTTATGAAGAGTTAAAACGTGAAGATTGTAATAAAACTAGTCTAATCTAGCTGAAGAAATAAAACAACTAAATGAACTAATTTAAAACATAAAAGAATACTAGTAGATAGTATAAAATATAAAGCTTAAGGTAATTATTGAATATTGAAATAAAACAACTGTTCCTCAGATTAGCCACAATGATGATAAAAATTTACCTTTCTAGAAAGCTGTAGAAGGGTTTGGCAGAATATAGAGCATTGGGGGGCAAGAGAAATGAGCTTCGGATCAAATTTTGGAACCTTTAAATTAGGAATTGAAGAGGAGAGGAGAGGCCGCCGGGGAAGAGAGCGAATGGAATTCGAGGTCAGCATCATCTCAATCCGAGTCTTCTGGTTACACGAATACTGTGAAGAATGAAAAGCCCTAAAGTTGGGAAAACAAGGACTGGTCGGAATTGAAGCCATCCGTTTCTCGCATTCCTTTTATCTGCAACAAATTCTTATTACTTTCACAAGCACAAAACCCCCAACTACGGGTGGGCACAGGCCGGGTAGGGGCGGGTGATCTATAAGTTTTTAGAGCCTACGGCTCCATGAAATAGGTAGGTCCAGGCTGGTTATGGTAATTCTCAAAATATGAAACGCACCTTACACTCCCTGTTTGAAAGGAGTCATTATGGCCCGGGGTTTCAATTTTTTCCGTTGCATTATTTTTATAATTTCAACTATTTACTTTAAAATTACATCAATGAAAAATGTAAGCTAATTTTACATATGTGGGAGTGTAGGACTAGAGATGAATGGTTAAAAGAAATGACAGAATATATTGAATAATACGATCAATCCTAAATCAAATGAAATTGTGCATACAGGATAAATAATAAGTAAACTAAATAAACTAAATTATGTGATCTCATTGAAACAAACAATAAGTAAACTAAATAAACTAAGCACATAGTAGATCATTTTTCACTTTTGCAGTATACTTGAGCATTATAATATATTACACTCAACGAATTTCAATTGTATTTAACTTAACATTGATCCAAAGCTTTTCAATTGTATATATCTTAACATTATTGGTAAGAAGAGGAAATCTGAAATGCACAAGACCATACGTCAATAAAGCCATAAATGTTAAAAGCTCATTAAACACATAAACTGACATGCAAATTATTACCTGCCCCATTTGAAACGAGTCAGCTTGGTCCGGGTTTTTGGTTCTTTTTTCCAATTTCTAAAAGATGTCATAAGTCATAACTGTGTAACCTTTACCTGCCCTTGTTTTACTATCGTTGTTCGGTAACTGTGTAACCATTACTTTCTGCAAATTTATCTTTTAAGTCTTTGATACTAAGTTGAAACAAAAACAGAAGAAATCATCCTAGACCAGCAATATGACTACCACCTTTGGATCATGAATCTTTTGCTACAAATGAACTTAACCTGTTGAACAGAAGTTTATAAATTGAGTTGTTTTATTCACACTCTACCAATTCAATATCAGAAAACCAGTTCAACTCAGGAAAACCTGGTCCGAATCCGGACCGGAAAACCCAGTTTGGCATGCTTTTTCCAAAAAAATATACTACCTCCGTCCCATTAGAAGGTTCCTGTCCACTATTTGCATGGTCAACTTAAATCATTTTTAATCGTTTAATTTATAAATCAATTTTTTATCAAATTTACATTTTTTTATCAGCCTTTGTAGTGTTTTTAATGTAGTTTCTGAATATATTAATTTTATTTACTAAAACTAATCAGAGTGTGAACAGGGATTAAGTTGCTTTATCGTCACTCAAGCATCGTAAACCGTTCACCTGAACCTTCTAGCGGGACGGAGGGAGTATTATACTTTTTATTTTATGTATTTTTAATCTAAAAAATTACAGTCCCAGCAAATCAACTAATGACAAAATCAATAAGGGAAGAATAAATCAAGATAAATCAATCAAGGGACAGCAAATTTACAAACCAGCTAATTATTTATGTAATCACTAATCAACTAATCATTTATCATTTATCAATTGCTATGAAAGTATGATTGCATGAATTAATAAAGTAATCAATCGTAGAGTTAAAGAGGGTTAAGAGGCGTACGGCGTGCTCGGAAGGACGGAAGGAGCGGTGCGCTAGATAGGAATAAGAATCGGAGGCAGCCGTGAAGGCGGAAGGCGGCAGGCGGCGTTGGCCACTTGGGAGTTGACTTCGCCGATGTCAAGTAGTCGATGTCTTAGATGAGCAAATGCCCGGCGGTTTCTTTCCAGGGTTCCTAAATCCCAAAGTCAAAGACGCAAATGTCCTCAAATCTGGATTACTCCTGTAATACCGACTATTACACGCTCCTTGTTAACCGGTAGTAGGATGTTTTCCTTGGGATGGGTTTGTAATCTCAAATCAATCTCATATCACACCCGATCAAATATAAAAAAATTAAATCAAATCAGATCAGACTTAAATATATCAAATCAGACTTGGACAAATATATAAAATACACATAAATAAGACGTTTACCAGTCCAGACTAGACTAAATTAGACTTAAACAAAACAAATCAGACCAAATCAGCAAATTACGGTCCAAAAGAAAACATCCTTAGAGGCCGTTTGGCAACCTTCATTTTCGGCTTATCAGGCTTATCAACCAACTTTTTTATCAAACACGTGAATTTTTCTTTCGCGCGCTGAATTGTGTAATAAGCCAAAATAGTAAGGTTGGAGTTACTTTTCGGGCTGTATTGGCTGAAGTTACTGTAGATGATCATTTTAACTATTTTTACATATAATTTTTTCTTTATTTTATTAATAAAATATATTTTAAAAATATTTTTTTTCTTGTATCAGCAGAATCAGCCAATGCAACCACTTCAGCCAGAACTTCATAAATTTCAACACAATCAGCCAAAACAGCCGATTTTCGTGCTACCAAACGGGCTCTTAGACTTTTAGTTAGCATAATACTCCTTTTTCCTTGTCTTGAGGTGAACATTTGGGCGGGATAAATCTACCGATTCATATATATTACTCCCTTCGTTCCACTAATATTGTCCCAGTTTCTATTCACTTGATCAACACAAAATCATTTTTAATTTCTTACTTTATATATCAATTTTTTAACAAATTTGATTATGATTTTTGCGACTTTGTAGAGCTTTTAATGTAATTTCTGAATATGTGATTTGTTTTTTCTAAAAATAATTTGAGTGCGGAGAGACCTGTTTACTTTATCGGTAGTCAAGCATCGCAAATCGCCATGGAACTATCATAGTGGAACGGAGGGAGTATTATCTTCACTCTTTTTAAATTGCAAAAGGTTAACTTTTATGTTTGTTAATACACAACTTTAATTGTAATTTTCATAAGAAAACTTTTAACTTTAATTTTGCTTAATTACATATTGATAAATATTTTAAAAATTGGGAATTCACATTAAATTCATGGTCAAAGTATAGTACATAATAATTTGATTATATACTTTTTGTATTAATTTATTTGTTGATGTGAATTTAACGATACTTTGACATTGATTTTTCGTTAAGATAAGGAAATTCACATTGAGGAGTACATAATAATTTGATTATAGTCAAAGTAAAGTGTATGAATAGTGTAAAATTCAAAAGTGTTGCAACTACTAATCAAATATCGGGTCTAATTATTTTTCATTTTTCGGCATGTGCCCCCACTGTCCTGGCCCCCTAAGACCGCCCACCGGTTACCATCTACATTCGGTCTTGTAAAACTTGTAAACCTTCCTCATCTTGGAGCACGTTCCTTAACATTTAACATTATAATTGGTTGAATTTGGTGATTTTGCTGAAATTTATCAAGTTTTGGTTAAAATAACTGGATTGACTGATTAAACTGATTTCACAAAAAACAATATATTTTATAATTAAGGAAAAAATCATATTAAAAATAGCTAAAAGGTCCATCTAAAACAACTTCAACCAATTCAGTCAGAAAAGTTATTATAATCTTACTTATTTTGATTATTACACAATTCTGCGCGCTAAATCAAAATTTACGTGTTTGATGAAAAGGTTGGCTAGTAAACTATAAAATAAGATTACCAAACGGGCCCTTAGTAGATTTATAGACCGTTAATTTTTGAAAAATTGCTCTAAATAGGAGTAAATAAGTTTTATAATTCTAAAATAGGATTGTTATGTTTTTCATAAAAACAAGTTTAATAATGTTTTTCCTCTCACATTGTTAAGAGGAAAAACATAGCAATCATATTTTGAAATTCCAAAACTAATTTAATCCTATTTCGGAAACTTCCCCTTAATTTTTCTTTTTCATTGGTACCATTTTCCTTTAAAATGTTAATTTGGTATTCTTACTATATATTCTCACGTCAAAAATGACAAGTACATCCCACGTAACTTTAGAGGAAAAATATAACATTCATATTTTGAAATTTCAAAATCTGTTTAGTGTTATTTTGAAAACTTCCCCTTAATCTTTCTTTTTCATTCTTACCATTTTCCTTTGAAATGTTAATTACTCATTCTTACTATGTATTCTCACAATCTCACGTAAAAAATGACAAGTACGTCCCACATGCCTAAAAAAGGTTTAGCATTCCTCTAGAAGAGTATGACGTTTACTAAATAAGTTATTTAAGTGTTTTAGCTATTCTAAAGTATAATGTTTACTAAATAAGTTATTTATGTTTTTTAAGGTAAAAAAATCAATTATCATTAATTAAATCATTGTTTAATACATACATGATGCGTGGGATTATATAAATAAATTATTTATGTTTAGTTGGTAGAATGTAAAACGTATGAATAGTGAATACGTGAGTTTCTATGAATGACCCCAGAATCGATCATCAAACAATTATCTTGAAAGACATAAACTGTATTTGGATCCAATGGAAAGAGATGTGATTTCATTCCAAAACTTTGCTCGAAGTTGAACCTAAAACCTCTCTCTTGTGTCACTTTCTTCCTACAAGGTTAGTTACACCCCAGTATTTGCTCATGATACTCTCACATTATACAAGGAACATGTAGAGATTATTGTTCTGGGTAGCAAGGAGAAAATAGAGAAAATATTGTGGTGCACCAACTTGAAACCCCTTCGTGTAAATTTTACTGATGCAACAAATGAAAGGTGGACATCACTGCAGATTATTACTGCCTGATTTTAATTTCCAGTTTACTACACGTGTGGCTTGAAGGGTAAGAATGAAGAAATAAAAACTGTCCCGAATTTTTAATTTTAGGGACCAAGTTGTAGGTAAAATTGGGTGTACCATGGCAAGTTGACAAGAACGCCAATCACTAAAGTTTCAAAAATGTCATCCGATTATTCACCATGGCAAAGGTAAAACTGGGTGTACCACATAGTTAGTGACCAATATATGCAGTCATGACATTTTTTAGTGCTAGCGTCCGTCAAGAGGTTATGAGCGGTGCAACAAAAACTTCACGTGCTCAAAAATAACCAGGAAGCTCTCCACACCTGGGTTACTATATAGTTCTTGAAGATTAATAGAGAATCAAGAGATGACATGATAAAAGTTTCAGAATCACATCGACTGAGATATGGGGGTTTTGGAATGTGAGACAATGGCAGTCCCCTCTAACTCTTCTGCCATAAGCAGCCTAGAAGTAGGTGTAAACTTCATGTCCAGTGAGTGTTCAACTTCTTCCAGTTCCAATCGTCTTACATAAAAATAATTTCTGGATGCATCTATGGTCCTACCCATAAATTCTGGTCTGGACATGAACTCCTTCATGCTGCATATGAAATCCAAATGCCCTCTTGCCTGAAGAGGAAGAAAGATTTTGAGCTAAAGATATCAATCTAAGCAATAGCCATAAGGATATCAAATAAATGAATAAGCTCCGGTTTCCAATAAACAAATGGACAACTGGTAGTAACACGAAAACTAAAAAAAAGGAGTAAAATTAAGCCCCATTGTTTGGTTAGGAGTTTTTGGAGATCTGGGAGGGGAAAGGGTGATATTTATTTTAAAAATTTATTTCTTGCAGCTACATGTTTAGAGAGTACTTGTGAAAAATCATAAAGAAATACTATTTTGACTAAATACATAGCCATGTAGTTATTTTCTGGCTGTGATTAAATATATAGACATATATTGGAAAAAATCGAGTCCTCCCAACCCCTCCCCCCAACCAAACAGCTCTTTCAGCTCACAAGTCACAAGAACTACCATTTTAGAATTCATTCGGCAATTGTACACAGATAAAAAAATATTGAACCAAATAATGTTATTACTGATGTTATCATATGCAAACCATGAACCACATTAACTATGAACTAGTCTGGATTAGTAGCAAAAACAACATTTACTTATAAAACTCAAAAGGAAAAGTTAGTCTGGATGTAATCACGCACCTGTCTATAGTCAGGGGCTCGTTTTGGAAACTTGAGGTAAGCCATGTTATGTATTGCATAATCCCACAGAAAAGATGTATGATGAATCCACCTACTTTTTGTGATTGACTGTGCATTTCCACCAAACTTGTGGCTGCCAAATACATAATCTGAAGAATCAAATGAAATGATATAAGTGCGGCTGTTTTATGTATATGGATTGACTTGAGTGAACAAATGTATGACAGAACTTAACTCTTACTCCGTGCATAATATTACCTCTGTCCCACTAGACTTTGCAAATGTTCCTTATTTGATTGTCCCATAAACTTTGTCACACTCTTTTTAAAGTAACTAATTTGTTGCTGATACATTTCTTTCTACTGATATATTTCTTTCTACTTTAGTCCTTTAAAGAAATCTCGATTACATTGTTTTAACTTTCTTATTCCATGTTCCAATCAATGTTGGCCAAAATTTAAGGGACAGATGGAGAATTTTAAAGAAAATGCCTGCGTGGGACTAACAGCTTTTTTATATTGACTATTGTGGCAATGCATATATTATATACTCCATCTTTCCCAACATAAGGTTTATGGTCTGACTTGGTACAGCTATAATTAAAAACAATAAATTGTATGGTTTGAGATTTATTAGAGGTTAGAGAAAAAGTATGAATCACAAAAGGAAACATGAACCTAACTTTGGGATGATTAGATTATGATAACACAAAAGGGGGCCTTGGTGCACCTATTAAGGTGTTGCTGTGTGACCGAGTGGTCATGAGTTCAAATCTTAGAAGCAGCCTGTTGAAAAATTAGGGGAAGGCTTGCCTCTTATATAAAAAAATTGATAGGGGAAGGCTTGCCCCTTATACACTCTTGTGGTGTGACCTTCTCCGGACCCTCCCCTTGCGAGGATGCCTTCATGCACCAGGTTAGCCTTTTTTTAAGAATAGGATAACACAAAACCTTTTTCTGTTGGAGTGAGAACAAGATGTAGTATTATACCTACCATTCTCACGAAGAGCAAATTCTCGTATTCCTCGAAACACGTCTCCATACAATAAGCTGCTCCAGCTCATGATAGGTTGGGGGTAAGGTTTCACCCCAGGAACAGCATCCTTATTGCATATGAAGGTAGCAAATATAGTCCCATGATCAACAATTACAGTGCCTCCACCAGTGAACCTTTTGATGACTGGAACCTTATCTTGTAAAACAGAATTAACTTCAATAAGTTCAGTAGGCTTCCTGTCAATAAAGTTTAATTTCAAGTTATAATATCCTGAAAGTCTTCTTTTGTGGACTTTTACATTTATCATCTTATTTAGAAACAAAAAAAGTTCTTGTACTGTTATGAAACAAGTCAAACTTAAGAGCATATCCTTTGATCTAAACCAAGTAAAACAGTTGACTGGCAGCAGACTAGAGTAACTACATAGCATTTGAGAGCAATAATTTGAAGGATACAGATTTTATAGAAATGCCTTGATTCACAATGACACTGATGATATCTATAATCAGGACTTAAGAGGAATAGCTTCACAAATACAAGCCTACATTAATTCTTGGATCACAACCAAAACTAAGATTGTGTGGTGCAAATTGCAATATGGATTTTTTTTTAAAGTCCACACCTAAAGTAACTAAATGAACATCTGAAAGGCACTTACTAAAACAGTTCCCTTATTCCTTTTCACACATGTAGCCATTTTTATTCTAACAACTCTATTTTCAGTTGCTCAGTTCTTACAGATTCTTACTTTCATGTTCGGGAGACGATAGTATGTAAACTAACCTAAAAAGAATTCACACCAATTCCTCACATTGACTCAATATTACCAATGAGCTAGCATATACATAGAACAACAAAAGCAGTATATATTCAGAGAACTAAAGAAGAAAAAGAAGAGATTGTGTAAATGTGTACGGGAATAAAATTTCTAACCAGCTTACCCCGAAACACCCATAACTACAGTGGGTTGATCTGTTCCATCATTAATGATACACCAATTGTCAGACGAAGTCCTTAACAACCGTTCCTCTAAGCACAACTGTTCCAAAATGGGTACACCTTGTAGCCTCACGAGATTCATTAATGGAAGCTGACGGTTTGTGTTTTGAAATAGAGCCATAGTAAAATTGGGGTACCACTCAGTTTAGAGCTAAGCTAAATTGGGCTTTTAGCCTTGAATTTCTCCAAAACAGCCTAAAAGTTCTTGAGTAGTGGTGTGCCCTTTGTTCTTGCAACTTTAAGGCGAGCTCTGAGGAACCCAAGACCGGTCATGTTGGTTTGAAAGCCTAGGACCGGGTAATTTATGATGAGCTTAATTTAAAAAAAAATGCAAACTAACATGCACAAATAATAATATTTCAAGACTTTTATAATAAAAAAGACTTTTATAACTCATTGACTTAAACAAAGTAGACTCACGGTTACAAATAAATAAAAAAAATACTTAAAATACATTGCTTGTTGAGTATTGCGAAGTAAAATCATCAACAATATCTTCATAATCAAGCTTTCTAAACACGTTAACATTCAAAAAAAATACCAAACAAATTAACACTAATAAAAATCCGGATTTAATTACATAACAGAAAAATGAACTAACCATTTAACATTCAACAACTGAGCAACTATGAAATAATCACTTAAAAAATAGGCAGAACGGCAACATCAACAAATCAACTAAATCATTATTCAACATTCAAGTATTCAACGAATCAATTAATTAAGAAATCAACTAACATCAACATCAACAAAGGCTGAGCGCAGAGCAAATAAACAGAAATCAATCAACAATTATGAATACGATATTATGATTATATAAACTAATCAGCAAACCAACTAAGCATTTATCAACAACTATGAAGTAATCGATAAAGGAGTTAGATAGTGTTAGAAGAGTACATAATTCCACAACTCCCAGAAGGTGAGAAGGGTCGAACACAAACCGCAGGGCCTGGGACTAGAAGCGGAAGAAGAAAGGTTGATGCCAGGCGGCAGGCATCAAGGCGTGCAGCGCACCTGAAGGCTGAGGCTGCTGAGCACTGAGAATGGGCAGGGCAGCAGGCGGCCAAGCGTCGCTGTGTCGGCGACTTGTCGTTCTTGACGGTTCGTCGATGCCGATGAGCCGATCCTCTATGCTGGGGTGTGTTTCCAAGTCCTGGCCTCCTGGCTCCTGAACTGTTCAAATCTGAATTTCTCCAGATACTCTATGGCAGTTGCAACACTTTTTCCACTTTTGACAATTTCAAAATAGTTACAACATTTCTAATATTCTCTTCTATCTCATAAAACTTGATTAATTTGTCCTTTTTATGAATGATAATAAAATTTGGGCATTTATTTTAGTTATTACTCCGTATATTGTTTAAAAAAGAATGTTTTCATATAATTTTCATATTTGAAATGATTTTATATTAAAAAATATCACTGGTCAAAGTAAAAGATAGCACATATTGACTTTAATACTCTCACACAAAAGAATGTATGAGAAGAACATAATTTGTTGTGTAATCTATTACAGTATTAAGTTTTGAGGTGAATATCTTTATCAAAAAGTTGTGTGGCCTATTTCTGTACAAAACGCCTACACCGAACTACCGAAGTGTCCACCCATATGTTTTCCCAAAAAAGTAATGATGCTTATTAATAATCATTTGAAAAGTAAAATCTAAGGGGTCAATAACAAAAAAATTAAACACCATATAGATTCATTATTCATATGATCATTTTTGGTAGTACGAAAAATAAATACAGGGAAAACAAAGCCATACATGACCAATACAAGATTTCTTCAACTATTACAATGTACCAAAAATAATTTTAAATAAATTCCCCAGCAACAAAGAGTAACAAGATTTTCAGAGGTTACATACTGAGAATGATCCAGCTCAATTCAAAGGGGAAAATAAATTCAAAGAATTCCAAAAAAGGAAAGAAGAATGATGGACTTTTCCCTGGATGTTAAAACACATGGTGTCAGCTTATGAACAATTCTTCATTATATTATAGAGTTGATGCACTATATGTTGTAGAATCATGAGGATGTAATGTTGCTTTGGCTGGAAGAGGCTTCATCAGTACAGTTTAAAAGAAGAGACCCTCTCCTGTTACTGATATCAAGACTCTGAAAATTACCAGCTAGAGGATCTTGCTGTTGCTGCTGCTGCTGCCCCATTATTGTATCTCGTAGACTCTGCATCACTGTTGCTGGGTAATAAGGAGCTGCTGATGACTGTGAAAAGTAGGCTGCAGACTGATTGTATGGATAATGGTGGTGCATTCCAAAACCATATGTGTCGGGAGATGATGATGATGATGACGATGCTGTTATTGGATCTGCAGTCGCAATCTTGAGCCTTTCGACCTCATGCTTCAGTGCTTCATTCAGAGCTGTTTTTCATTTTTTGGGATCATGACAGCAAAGGAAAACATATTAAAGGAAATACTCGGTCTGCCCAAGAGTGATCCAAGAACAAAGAATGGCATGGACTGATAAAAAGATAAGTTTTAATCTTGATCATTTATCTAATATTCGTAATAACTTCAAACTCAGACTATCCTACATTGGATAAAATAACAACGAATATGTCCATTAGACAGGTTAAAAATGGGCTAATGATGTGGTAGATCACAACTGCAAATGAATGATGAAAGATGATGCTTGTGTGTATGAGGGGCATCAAAAGGGCATACAAATGGCCATTAAATTCTAAATAAAGCTTCACCCAATTATTAGAAGACTGTCCATTGACATTCTTGTGGCCTGAGTTGAACTTTAAAAATGAGGTTGACCAATTTTTAGGACCCCCTTTTACCTCTTTTTTTACCCAACTAGGGGTACATAAATGATTAGTCAAACGATAGTGTAAAGCCAATAAAGAATATAAAAAGCACCATCACATTAAGTTTATCTTAATCTGCCTAATTAGAGGACCCGCCAGTGCACACTACCAAAAGGCTTGCAAGAACAAAAGGCAACTGAAAAGCCATGCTTTGATAGCTAGGCACATACCATCATGCAACTGAGCCTGTTGCTCCATGGCTTGCAAACGAAGCTTGAGCTCTGTATTCTCATGTGAAAGTCCTGTTGTGTCCCTCTATAGAAGTAGCAGACAAAACAAAACAAAACAAAACAAGAGTCAACTATGAATATTGGACCATTGAGACAGATAGGTTTATGTTTTTGTACATGGTAATATGGTATCATGCTTCATGGTTTAATAGATTACAGTGGATCAACCATGTTATTCATATGCTTGTTATGAAAATCAGAAGGATCGAATTGCTCATCTGAACATCACAGATTCTGCTACGATATTAAATTTCATACTAGAAGTTCAAATTGATATGAGTGACATATAACCTAATAGGTTAGTTAATGATTTTTATTAGGTCGAAATGGAATGATTTAACAAACCATTGATTCAATATAAAAAATACTACCGCTCTCACCCAAAAAAAAACTTCATTCTTTTTTGTTACATGTGTCCTAATATAAATTCTTTTTTCCTATCAAGTCAAAAGGGATAATAATGGGAAGTAGTCAGTAGGAAGTAACATAATGCAAAAAGCTAATGTAAACAGGTAGAGTATTTCAGAACAATGCCAACCTGGTAAAGAGAAAGTTGTGCTGAAAGAGTGGTCGCCTCTGTTTGAAGGGTCAGAACTTTTCTCTCTAATTCAGTCATATATCGCGCTTTCCTCTCTTTTGATCTGGAAGCTGACTGCCTATTCGCCAGGATTCTAATACATACAAAGTATATAAATTAATAAAATTATGAGTGATACTCTGAATAAAGCATTTTTTAATTTACCTGAGAATATATGGAAGGAGAGGGGGTTCAATAAAATTACCTTTTGGCTCGCTTGGGGTCAATGGACCAGAGCTCAGCCAGCTTATCAGGGGCCATGGCTTTCTTAGTCTCAATAACACTTTCACTAAACACCAAACCGGAGCTATCCACCGAGTTGCTATGCCTGTGGCGCGGCCGGTTAAGTGATGCCTCATCCGGTTCAGCCGTTGATCCGACTCCGCCAAGCTTCTCGATGTCCATGAAAGAGGAGAAGAGATCCTCCTCTGAACCGATTTCCTCGAAGCTCCCAGCCGGAGCGGATTCGAACGGATCGGACCCCAGATCCAGATCCTCCGGCAGACGGAAGTTTACTTCTGAATGGGCTCTCCGGTGGTGCGGCGGCCATGATGCTGTCGGAAGCGGCGCCGTTTCGCTCGTGTTCAGATTTGTCTTTGGCGGATCTTGCATTTCTGATGAGTTCTCAGCAGCAGAAAAATTAGAGCAGAATGAGAGGGTAAACGGAGCCTGCCTTCAACAATTCTTCAACTTCTAGTCTGCTAGGTAGTTATTAGTTAACTACACTGCAATGGCAGTTAACTGTTAGTAGTACATTTAAAGAATCATTACTATTAATTTAATGTAATGGTGTAGATCAGATGGAGAGAGTCTTTTTGGCCTTCTTTTTATTTTAATTCTTTTATTATAATCCTTAATTTCTCTTTTTTATTTGTCTCAATTATAAAAATTTTATTTTTCTTTATTTTACATCTAAGTATCTAACACAAATTTGACAATGTCCAATACTATAAAAGTAATATTGGATTGGATCGAATGTGATATATTCAATCATACTCCTACTAAATTGTTAAATAAAAAAATCATATATACAAGATGCGACAAACTAAAAGCGGTGCAAATTACCTAATGGGATAATACCATTCTTATATAATTGTCTCACTTTCTTTATTGATTCATTTCAAAAGAATTACTTCATTTTCTTTTTCTAAAAAAGAATATAATACCATTCTTAGATGGAAGGATTGAGGAAACTCAAGGAACTTCGCACGAGTAGCTCAGTTGATTTAATGGGAAATTTGGAACGATGATAAAAATTCGAAATTTACAATGATCGTGTAAAGATTACAACTCTATGTGCACGATAAACCTCTAATGTGCACGAGTATAAGATCTATCACTATTGATTCATCGGATCACCGTAACAGTTTGGGGAGTCTGGTTTGACTTTTTATGAAAGGGATAGTTGTTGGCTCATTTGTGGATAATGTGTGATCACAGTAGTGGGCAAACATATGTTTAATTGTTGGGGGCCACTGAACTGCCCATTTATGAAATAATTGATGATTTTTTGTATAACGGGTCACCATCAAATTGTCATACGAAAAAATTTTGCTTTTGAAGAAAATTTTTTGTTGTGTACCATCATTTAGCTAGAATCTACATTACACTCTTTTTAGGTAAACTATGTAGTATGTATTCATGGATCTATCGCCGGTACGCTACTCGTAAAATGTGACACCGCTCCCAATTTGAATTGGGATTAATTAATCCATTAATATTAAAACTTAATAGAAGTTACAAATATCAATGTCGATGAGGATGACTAGTTGAGTTCGTGAATATTTATTCATTTTGAAAACTAGTTACAAAAATATTAATCATATGAGAAATGATTAATTGATTAAATTAATACCGATTAATTATATTGTGTGTCGGACCCTAAAGAAAATGGGGAGGGACTAACTAGTATATTCTTGGACCACGTTAAATTAGTTAAAAGCCCAAGGACAAGGAAATAAGTTATATACGAATGTTTGGGCCGGGTAAAAGGTAAAGGAATAAAATAAAGAAACTTTTCGAGCCACTTTCTAATAATAGAAAGGTAAAGGGGTTTAAGCCTGTAACATCGGAGAGGGATATCCTATACATTTTAGGATCGATCTATTGAGGTCTACTAGCCTAAAATAATATAAGTAAACGAATAAAAGCCATTTGGGTCGGAGTAAATTAAAAAGAGCAGCCCGCGAACCCGACCCAACTAAATTGGCCCAACCTTTCTAAAAATAGATAGATAAGGGAGGGGGTCTCCTTATCCCCTCATTTTGAGAGGTTGTGCGTAAGACACAAAAGGAGGGAGAGGGCTGGAGAGCTCCATACGCACACCACAGAGAATCAAGAAGAAAGGGAGTCAAGAAGAGAAGGAAATCCGATAGAAAACGAAGCCTAACGGTAAGAATCTCGTAGCTCCGGTTCTTGTTCTTCCGTTTAATATATTTTTCGTATATGATTTTATAGAAATCATATGATGGATTCTAGGAGATGTTCTACACGTTTAAAAGTGTAGAAAAATGATATAAAGTGTTGGTATTTAACTTGGAAGGGTTGTGGAATCGATAGGAATCGAAATCGCCGGAAACCGCCATTTCTAGGAGCTGTTTTCGTGTTGCAGGGCCCGAAAGCCGGGCAGCTTTTGCAAAAGCCGGGCGGCTTTTTCCCTCTGCCAGCCAAGTCCATTTCGGATCATTTCCGATCAAAGGTTTAACGAAGGGGCTTCAATAGGAAGGCTTGCTGGACATATTTAAGGTGAGGATGACTGACTATATTGTTTATAATTAGTGAGTTAATTTCATAAGATTACCTAAAGTTGTTAAATGTGATTTTCATGGATTATTAACGATTAATAATGCCTAAATGAAAATACTATGGTTTATGAGTAAATGAAGCATGATATACAAATTTGGGAGAAATTGTGTATGATTATGTGATATGAAAGTGATGGCATGATAATGGAATTAACTATAAAAATATTGTGATAAAATATACTTTTACTTCATGTATAGAATTCATGAATGGATAAAAGTGATATTCTTGATATTGAGATTAAATTGTATTTGGATTGAAAAATCAATTGGAATGAAATGTTGATTATGAATTAAGAACTTGGTTGTTCTAAGATTATCCGACTAGTATTGAAATACTAGTCGGGAGATTGAGATAAATAAATGATAGAATTAATCCTAAGAGATAGGATTGTGAATAGAGGTGCCTTAAGTAGTCCTAAGAGATACTTAAGGGTCGGAATGTATGAGCTCTAAGATATGTTAGGAGTAGGCCTTAAAGGCTACTCAAGGTAAAATGATTCTAGGCATAGAATTGGCTTAGGAATCGAATAACTTAACTAAGAGCGAGGCTCTAACAAATGTAGATTGACTAAGAGCGAGGCTCTAGCCCAAATGTAGACTGACTAAGAGCAAGGCTCTAGCCTAATATAGATGACTAAGAGCGAGGCTCTAGCACAAATGTAGATTGACTAAGAGCGAGGCTCTAGCCAGATGTAGATGACTAAGAGCGAGGCTCTAGCATAAATGTAGATTGACTAAGAGCGAGGCTCTAGCCAGATGTAGATGACTAAGAGCGAGACTCTAGTATGAAGTTAGGTTGACTAAGAGCGGGGCTCTAGCCTAATGTAGGTGACTAAGAGCGAGGCTCTAGCATAAATGTAGGTGACTAAAAGCGAGGCTCTAGCATAAATGTAGATGGCTAAGAGCGAGGCTCTAACACGGTATGATAATAAGATTGAGTGAGGCTCCATGATGGCTAAATAATGTAATTAAGAAATGCCCCATGACGGTAATGTAATTTACCGAAGGTTATAACAATCGTGACTAGTAGTCACGGGGGAATGGGGATGGGCGTTTCAAAAATGAGTATGGGCCACGGGCCGACTACTTGACTCTATATAAAGTAAGTATATTTTTAAAAAAAGGGGTAACCGAGGGTTATGGCCTATAATATGATACCACCCTAGATTGAGGGTCTTAGAAATTGAAACATTGATTATACTTAGTATAGTTGTCATTGTACTTGTCAAATGCTTCCAAGTACTGATCTCCCCTTCACGGGGGAGGCCACCTCACAGTTTCAGGTAGGAGTTGAGCTTGCTACCAGTGCTCGTTGCTTCGGGAAGATCTAGGAGAGAAGACGTGGTTCGTGCTTCCTCCGTTCCTGTTTCAAAAACAATTTTAATCATGCTCATGGATATTATTTTCTGAATAATTATTTGGGGGCTTGTATGCCTAATGATGCCAAGTGTGGCTTGAACACTTGTAATATTGTTTCCGCTGCTTTAAATGAATATTTTACATTATGTTTGTTTATGGATGTACTACGTGTGAATGATATTCATGACGCCTTGTATAGTATGGATGAGTTGAACTGCGGTTGACTATTCGTACTGTACGGCGGGTTGTTGACGTGTCCGGCTAGGTCCGGGGCGTGACATAAAACCTAATTTATCCCTATTTATAATAGCGTTCAATAATAAAATTCTACACACAATTCTCCCTGCAATAACATCTTAATTTAAGGTCTATTGTTGGTCTTTGTCTAAAAAAACTCCCTTCCTGGACAAATTATATGGTACACCCGGGTGTACATGTACACCCGGTAATTTTTTAATTAGTAATAACTTTAAGGATAATAAATAGGCTGAGTTGTTTCCTGTTTTTTGCTCCGCATGCGTACTCCCTGACTCCCTGATCCACTTCTGCCGTATCATGAGTTGACTACTTGGCTGATCTTTGATACTTGCTATTCAATTGCTAGTTTGTTGCGTACGTTTCTCCTTTTTTTTCTCCTTTATTTTTTATTTTTTTGTTTTTTATTGTGTTTTCCTTTCTTTTTTTGTTTTTGTTTTTTAGTTACCTTCTACTTTAATGTTATATTCAATTATTATGAAAGTGTATAATATAAATATTAGTAAATGTCCCAGTTATTTTTTTTCTTTCTCTAATCAAACTTCCAACTGAAGTTTTTTATTTATGTCATATAAAATGTTATGCTCATTTTAAAATGTTATATCAATGCATATTTCAAAAATCTCATACTTCGTATTACATTAGATTCACATAAAAGTTGATTATAGACACAAGACCGCAAATCATTATACTCAATCGCACGATTCTTATACTCAATAACAGAGGTTTGATGTTCACTGAAAACATCTTGATGCTCAACGAACAAAACTTACAATTTTCATATCAATGCTCATCTTGTACGTCACATATGCTCATTTGCATAGGTCTGATGCTCATTAAAAATTCATTAATGCGCATGTAACACAAATCGTGATTTCCATCGATCTCAATCGATGAGGTTTGATCCTGAATGTAAATGTCGTGATATTCAACTAACAAACCTTACGATTTTCATATTAATGCGCATTTTGCGAGTTACGTATACTCATCTGGTACTGATCTTGTGCTCATTTTGTAAATGTCATATCAATGCATTTTTAAAAGTACTATTCTACATTAGATTCACATATTAAAATTCATAGGACTTGATTATAAATATAATGTAATAAGTTTTTATAGAAGTTATGAAGCAGAGATCACGATTCTGAATATTAGACTCCTAATACTCAACATAATATGTTTGTTACTCATTAAAAGTTCATTAATGCTCATTCACCAGAAATCTTGATTTTCATGCCAATAGCGGAGGTTTGATGCTCAATTAAAATGTCGTGATGTTCAACTAACAAACCTTACGATTTTCATAT